AGATCAAGTTTGTATTGACCCTGAGGGAACAGCCTGCGACTGTGGTCATCACCAGGGGTGTGCAAGTCCCCGTGGCTCATGGCCCCGATCACCGCCAGTGTCGTCCACAGTACCACGTAACTACCTGTCTTCATTAGTGCCATTTTCTGTTGCACGGCAACAGAGCCCCAGGGTAACAGAGTCTCAGGGTAACAGAGCCTCAGGGTAACAGAGTCTCAGGGTAACAGAGTCTCAGGGGAGTGTGTGTGTGTGTGGGCGTCGTCGAGGCAGGATGACTGGAGACTGCCTTTGACAACTCAGCAAAAACACGTAGCGCCAAGTTATGGGAATCCCGCCACGCTCATCTTGTAGGGCTTTCCTAAAATTATCTTAATGATAAGTGGCGTCCTCTTGAAGAAAACTGGTGTTAAGTGTAGCATTTTCTTGTGTTGGATCTTATTCGTTAATCACCTGTCATATGTCATCGTCGTCTTGATATAGTTTAATGAAGCTGTTGGTGGATGTCACATGAAGATGGCATCCTGAGAAGTCCGGGGAGTCAGAAGGACGAGTGATGTCAGCAGGTGGTGTGACATCCTCCGCTCCTCATCTTAGTAATTTCCCATTTTCAGAGGGCAGGAAGCGAGATAGGGTTATCGCGGTCCCCTTCTCTAGCCAACTGCTCACTTTCTTCAGGAGGTAACCCACAAACTGTCGACAAGGTCTCAAGTGCCTGTTTAATACCAGGTGAACAGTGGCATTATGTGAAAAGTAACGTGCCTTAAAGTCTTACCCTACCCGGGAATCGAACCCGTGACCAGCAGGTTGTGACCTAGATGTCACAGTAAATAGGAAACTTCTGTGGATAATTATTACTTCCAGTATCACGAACAGGAAGCTCAATGCTAAGACCAAGCAAACACCTAGTTGTGCTTGCGGGGGTTGAGCTCTGGCTCTATGGTCCCGCCTCTCAAGGATTGGTGGTTCGTTGGACAAGTCTCTCCTGCTGACATTCGGGATTGGTGGTTCGTTGGACAAGTCTCTCCTGCTGACATTCGGGATTGGTGGTTCGTTGGACAAGTCTCTCCTGCTGACACTCGGGATTGGTGGTTCGTTGGACAAGTCTCTCCTGCTGACACTTGGGATTGGTGAATCGTTGGACCAGCCTCGGACCAGGCTGGCCAGATCAAGTTTGTATTGACCGTGAGGGAACAGCCTGCGACTGTGGTCATCACCAGGGGTGTGCAAGTCCCCGTGGCTCATGGCCCCGATCACCGCCAGTGTCGTCCACAGTACCACGTAACTACCTGTCTTCATTAGTGCCATTTTCTGTTGCACGGCAACAGAGCCTCAGGGTAACAGAGTCTCAGGGTAACAGAGCCTCAGGGTAACAGAGTCTCAGGGTAACAGAGTCTCAGGGGAGTGTGTGTGTGTGTGGGCGTCGTCGAGGCAGGATGACTGGAGACTGCCTTTGACAACTCAGCAAAAACACGTAGCGCCAAGCTATGGGAATCCCGCCACGCTCATCTTGTAGGGCTTTCCTAAAATTATCTTAATGATAAGTGGCGTCCTCTTGAAGAAAACTGGTGTTAAGTGTAGCATTTTTTTGAGTTGGATCTTATTCGTTAATCACCTGTCATACGTCATGTCTTGATATAGTTTAATGAAGCTGTTGGTGGATGTCACATGAAGATGGCATCCTGAGAAGTCCGGGGAGTCAGAAGGACGAGTGATGTCAGCAGGTGGTGTGACATCCTCCGCTCCTCATCTTAGTAATTTCCCATTTTCAGAGGGCAGGAAGCGAGATAGGGTTATCGCCGTCCCCTTCTCTAGCCAACTGCTCACTTTCTTCAGGAGGTAACCCACAAACTGTCGACAAGGTCTCAAGTGCCTGTTTAATACCAGGTGAACAGTGGCATTATGTGAAAAGTAACGTGCCTTAAAGTCTTACCCTACCCGGGAATCGAACCCGTGACCAGCAGGTTGTGACCTAGATGTCACAGTAAATAGGAAACTTCTGTGGATAATTATTACTTCCAGTATCACGAACAGGAAGCTCAATGCTAAGACCAAGCAAACACCTAGTTGTGCTTGCGGGGGTTGAGCTCTGGCTCTATGGTCCCGCCTCTCAACTGTCAATCAACTGGTGTACAGGTTCCTGAGCCTACTGGGCTCTATCATATCTACACTTGAAACTGTGTATGGAGTCAGCCTCCACCACATCACTGCCTAATGCATTCCATTTACTAACTACTCTGACACTGAAAAAAGTTCTTGATGTATATATCTGTGTCCCCTTGTGTGTGTACCATCCGTGTTAAATAATCCATCCTTGTCTACGCTGAGAATTCAAAACCGGGTACCCCCCCCCCATCGGGTATCTAGAAACGAGAGTGTTCGAGGTTGGAGAGCAGACTGTAGTAGTTAGCTTCACGCACACCCCGCCTCCCTCAATCCCCAAGCACCGCATCCCAGATTCCCCCCATCCCTCCCTACCCCCCAAAAAAAAACCATACACACACACACACACACACACTGGTGGGACACGAACAAGAGGACACAGGGCTCAAGAATCTGTACACCAGTTGATTGACAGTTTAGAGACGGGACCAAAGAGTCAGAGCTCAACCCCCGCAAGCACAAATAGGTGAGTACACACCCTTCCCACTCCCCAAACACACACCCTCAGCCCAACACACCCACCTCCCCCCCCCAAAAAAAAAAACACTTCCTCTCCATCAACCCCCCCAAACATACACCCTTCTCACCCCCCAAACACACCCCTCCCCCACCCACCAAACACACACACCCTCCTCAACTCTCCGTGTGACCCAATGATAGTTCTTCCCTGCATTTATTAGTCTATCTGGATGCTCTGATGACCTGCTCCATATGCAGGCGAGGAGTCACAATAACGTGGCTGAAGTATGTTGACCAGACCACACACTAGAAGTTGAAGGGACGACGACGTTTCGGTCCGTCCTGGACCATTCTCAAGTCGATTGTGTCGACTTGAGAATGTCGTCGTCCCTTCAACTTCTAGTGTGTGGTCTGGTCAACCTGCTCCATTTCTCCCCCCAAAGCTGTTAATATACATTAATATACATTTGTGTTCATACAATATAACACTGACCATATCTCTGCACACCAGGACGAAGGCGACTAGTTGGAGTTATTCACATTTCATTAATCTCGTGAATAATGGGTTGGGTTTGAGTGTGGTTTAGTGTAAGGCCGTGAGAAAATGGCTATTGTGGATTAATTGCGAGGCATTGATCATTCACAAAAGCCAAGGTTGCCGGCAGTAATGGGGCCAAAATTGGCACTAGGATATCATAATTTGTTGATGGTAAGTAGCCAAGCGGTGTGTGTGTGTGTGTGTGTGTGTGTGTGTGTGTGTGTGTGTGTGTGTGTGTGTGTGTGTGTGTGTGTGTGTGTGTGTGTGTGTGTGTGTTCCTTCTGGGGTGACCATTGCCTTTTGTGAAGGGTTGGGTGGACATATATATCTTATGTTTCTGTAGCTTGTGATGGCTCGCACACTAAATGTTGATTTGTATTTGATTGCACTATTTTATATGATACATCCTTGCTCCGATAGATGATTTGTATAAGTTAAGATCTTTGCTGGTGATGAAATGGTCTAAATCATCACCTACGAGATAAAGAGTGGAGATAGACTAGCTTTCCCAGATGTAATAGTCTCGGAAAGAAATAGTGACCTTCAAACTGCAGCTACACTAACGAAACCAACATAGAAATGTTGCCATAGTAATATCGGCAGTGTGTGCCATACAAATATACAGTCACAAGCGGAGGGTTGTCAATGCCTATGCCAACCGTGTCCTCAAACACACACAACTCTAGTGTAGGTATGACAGGGGACTCGAGAGAGAAAGGCAGGCATTATAGTCGATAATAAATACTCCAATTGGTGGGTCGAAGAGATCATTAAAAGACAAGTTGGTCGCTGCAGCTTCTCACATAAAGCTGCCAAATAATACATTAACTTCATATGAAAATACTTGACATGATCTTTTCCACAATCCACGAAAGCTACGGGATAGCTTCCCTTCCCTTCACCGTCTCATAAAGTGAATCTAAGCATGGATAATCGTTCGAAAGTTTACTCTTTTGCTTAGGAAGCGTTCCATGTCCTCTACCAGGAAGAAGATATCAACAAGCCTGAGATAAACAATTGGGTTTAAGGTCCACCTCGGCGAGGACTTTCTCCATCATTAGATATTTGATAACATCATTAATACCAACTTTATATATTGCACCAAATTCAATTGATTTATGCTCTTATCAGTTTGTCCATCGTGAAAGGTGATAATACCATTTGGACGGAGCAGACTGCAGAGCAGACCAGAGTTTTCCTTCACTATAACTCTCCATCACCTCATGCCTAAAAGAACTAATCTCGCAAGGGTGATAGACCGCTAATCACACCATCTATCAGCTTAATTCATACTGTTATTGCGTGTTATTTAGTAGAGTATAGCAATCCCTCGGGGGACGGACATTGATTTATGTCTTGTGATAGAAGAGGTAATGAGACAGTCTTAGTATATATGTATACATGTATGTGTATGTGTGTGTGTATAAAAGGTGTATATTTCCAGAGGAAATAATAATAAAGTGTTTGGATGTTTATATTGTTATGTCATGTTTGTTTGGTCACTTAATGGGTTTTCCAGTTGATGACTCCACTGTGTTGTCTCGTCCTGTGTTCTGTCTTGCCCTATGTTCTGTCTCGCCCTATGTTCTGTCTCGTCCTGTGTTCTGTCTCGTCCTGTGTTCTGTCTCGTCCTGTGTTCTGTCTTGCCCTATGTTCTGTCTCGTCCTGTGTTCTGTCTCGTCCTGTGTTCTGTCTCGTCCTGTGTTCTGTCTCGTCCTGTGTTCTGTCTCGTCTTGTGTACACTGTTAGGGGGGTGTTCCAGGGAGGAAGGCCAGCGGGTGCGTGGGTGTGTGGGATGGGGGGAGGTGAGGGATCCAGTCACCTGTACTGGAACCCATGTGTAGCGCCCAGTATATATATATGTGTATGGATCAGTCACGGTCCATCCAGCGCTCGCTCGCGTTCTTTGGAACATCTACTTCCAGCGCCCACTCTTCGTCTCTGGAACATCTGCTTCTAGAGCCTTCTCTTCGTCTCTGGAACATCTGCTTCTAGAGCCTTCTCTTCGTCTCTGGAACATCTGCTTCTAGAGCCTTCTCTTCGTCTCTGGAACATCTGCTTCTAGAGCCTTCTCTTCGTCTCTGGAACATCTGTATCCAGCGGCCATTCTCGTGCCTGGAACACCTGCTTCCAGCGCCCATTCTCGTCTCTGAAACATCTGCTTCTAGCAGCCGCTCTTCGTCTCTGGAACATCTGCTTCCAGCGCCTTCTCTTCGTCTTTGGAACATCTGTATCCAGCGGCCATTCTCGTCCCTGGAACATCTGCTTCCAGCGGCCATTCTCGTGCCTGGAACACCTGCTTCCAGCGGCCACTCACGTGCCTGGAACATCTGCTTCCAGCGGCCATTCTCGTGCCTGGAACACCTCACGCTTCGCCTCCAGGTGTCACGCTGCAGTAAGTTGAAACTTTTCACATTGTTTAATATGATGATCCATGGGAGGCAGCTTCTATTTATATGCATTCAATCTTATTCCTATATATGTCCTACGATTGTAATATTCCAGCCATCCAACCTCGATTATCTTACGCGGTAATTTGTTTCATAAATCAGTAACCCCGTTTACAAACCAGTATTTACCCAGGTCTTTCCTGAATCTAAGTTTATCCAAATTTGTTTTACTTCTGGTTCATGATTTTTGTGTTTGTGTCTTGTTATGTTTAATAGCTTATTAATATCCCTATTAATAAGCTATTAAACTAGTATATTTCAGTCATATCACCCCTTTTATGCTTTCTTAAGAATGTTTTTCAAATATTCGTGATCTGACTCCATAAGGGAAGGTTCGGGGAGTTATAATTTCTTTATTCTCTCCATACATATTAACATTTTAATAATGTTTATTCTTCACTACTGTAAGTAGACCTGAACCCATAATATAAACGGAACTGCTCGTTGAGTGAATGGGGACCAACTTTAGATTTAGTCAACTATTGTTGGTTGTGTTCTGTGGCAGGCTACTTGACATAGATTGGACTCGAAAAGCATAATAAGGCTTCCTGTCCTCAATAATTCTAAACCAATTTACAGGTATAATAACGCATATTATCATTATAAATACAAATGTATCACCGATAATTTCGTTATTTATTAACTACTGGGTTCCTGTTTGACAGTGATTAGTTTTACTAATATAGCACAAGTGCACGGAACGCAGGGCCCGGCACTGCTCAGGATCCAGCATCGCTCAGGACCCAGTACCGCTCAGGGCCCAGCACTGCTCAGAATCCAGCACCGCTGAGGGGCCCAGCACTGCTTAGGGCCCAGCACCACGCAGGGCCCAGCACCGCTGAGGGGCCCAGCATCGCTGAGGGCACAGCACCGCTCAGGACTCAGCACCCCGGCACCGTTGAGAGCCCAGCACCGCACAGAATGGGCGGAGACGTCACACATCATGTGGCGTTGCTGGCGGCGTCGCTGGTGGCGTCGTGGGCGGAGGTGCGGGTGTACAGGTCTCCTGGAGTAGGTTCCTGCGGGGACGCCCTTGAACACTACGTGAACGTCTCTCCGTCTCTCTGTGCTCTACACTGCAATCACAGTATGTTCACTGTTGTTCAAGCCTTACACTGCAACCACAGTTGTAGCAGGCAGAATATTCAGAAGGTAGAATATACAGTAGGTCATATATACAATAGGTATAGAATATACAGTAGGCAGAATATACAGTAAATGGATATAGAAAGCATCAACTATATGTGTTATTCATGCTGGTTGAATTCTTCCCGTCAGACAGACATTGTGAAGGGTACAGCTTCCTGAGTCCGCCTCCAGGAGGCCCGGGAACAGCTGGTCACTGCTACTTGCACCAGCTGGTGACCTATCCAGATGGTACGCCTGGTACCACCTGCTACCTGCCAGGTGAGCACCTGTCACATGTACACCTGCTAATTACCTCCAATGTAATTATGGGTGTCGCTTCTTGGCCTTAATTATCACTAGCTGTTATTTCTTAATGCTATTCTCGCATCACTCTGTGTTGCAGTTATTAACAAGCACATTTAGGTGAGTATATGTACACAAACACACACACTCAGGCACAAACAGAGACCTACACACATGTGGAGTGATGTGGTGGAGTAGACTCTATACACAGTTTAAAGTATAGATATGATAGAGCGCCCAGTAGGCTCAGGAACCTGTTCAACAGTTGACTGACAGTTAAGAGGCGGGACCAAAGAGCCAGAGCTCAACCCCCCGCAAGCACAACTAGGTGAGTTTACAGATACTTTTTTTGTGATTTAGGTCTTGTTATGGATAATAACGAAGTTAAACATCTGTTTAGGAACTTTCAGCTAATGCAAAACGTAAATTGACGGTTGGCGCAGCCTAAGGCTTAACAAAGTGCTTATAGCTTCTCTTGTCAACAGTTAAGGCCAGACAATGAAGATACATTTTCCTATATAAAGTTTATGATTAATAAAATGACCAAAATCCCAGTTCCAGAGGTAACAACGGGAGGTTCGAACTCTGCCACTACCACACTTCTAGAAACCATTACGGCACCTTTGATGAACCTGTCCACTTCCGCGCCCTCAGAAACCACTACATCTCCTGGGGCAAACGCATCTACTATCACATCACTAACGACCGTAATTGTAAGTTTAGCTTCAAAATCCGTGGTAAATCAGTATCTTTAAAATCAAATGTTTTGTCAGAGGTTAGAGGCCAGACATTTAGCGCTAGCCTCTTCCAACTTTGCACTGCGATTGCTGTAGGGTACATACCTAACATAATTCTTCAACATAATTAAACATGCAGACACGTGATACATACCGACTCATGATACAAGCTGTCATATAATAGGTATTGTCACATGACACTGACATGTTTTTCGTGATTGTATAAGCATAATAATCATTATAAATATAAGACATAAGTCTCTTGAGAGTCTTATAAAGTCTAATAATGATAATTTTCACATTTTCAGACCATGAGCTCGACGGGGCTGGCCAATTTGAGCGATGCTTCACATGTTAATCTCAAGTCTCAAAGCTCCTCGTGCCCGAACAACACCGGAGCTGTGGGTATGTTCGAGATGTACTCAGACGACTACCTCCTGTGTGCCGAACCTCCCGCCGGCCTGACCTTCACCTCCCTGGACCCGAGACAAGTGTGTGGGTCTCCCACGTACCGAATGAAGTGCATGACTGCATCCTGCAGGACGAACAGCTTCATAGTGGGCTTCATGTCGGATGGTACGAATGTCTACGGGCCATGTAGCGACGGGTTTGTGAGCCTGGTCGCCGCCGTCAGCTCAGAGTGTCATACCATTTCGGGGACCATGCAGAAGGGCTCCGGCATCGACGGCAACTGGAAGCAGTGGAGGATTTGTGGGGGAGACGGCAGCAAGTTCTTCCTGATGACGGGCGTGGGGGTGACCAGCAACTCGGACAACAGCTGGACCTATGATAACATTACGTGTTGTCTTGTCAACTAAATCACGCGTAGTTTGCCCTACGGCCCTCAAGGTATATACGGTACTTCATATTCTGTGCTCTAAGGACAGTATATATTCTATGTACAGGACTTAGAAAATATGTAAGTACTGTATATACATTGTGTGCTGCCATCAATGGTAACAATACGGACATTAATTGTTGGTTTTAAGAGCTGGTCCCAGTCATTTATACTCAATTGAATTGAACATCATACATCCAGGTGTTTGACCCAGAGGGAAGATGCCAGTGTCATTAGACGACCATTAACTGATGTTAAACACCATTCACCTTGCCTCCCCATTAATTCGTTCCTCGTTGACTAAATCACACACTAGAAAGTGAAGGGACGACGACGTTTCGGTCCGTCCTGGACCATTCTCAAGTCGATTATCCAGGACGGACCGAAACGTCGTCGTCCCTTCACTTTCTAGTGTGTGGTTTGGTCAACATATTTCACCCACGTTATTGTGACTTCTCGACTTCGTTCCTCACCATGATTCATGACCACTCATTCCCAATAATGAGTGTGGCGGGGTGAGGTGACCCCCTCTCCCACTTTCCTGGTCTCCGCACACCGCCCTCTCCGGTCTCCACACACCATTTCCTCCTATACACTATCTCCATCCCTGTAACCAAGACCTTAGAACACAAATACCATTCAATAAATAAGTCTATGGACTCGGAGCCGAACATTTCACAACCCCTAACATCATGAAGGAGTTTTATTGAAGCTGTAAACATGTGACTCTTACTGACACCAACCAGAAGATTGGGTTGTCATATGACAAGTGTTTATATTAGTAACCTAACCTAACTTTATCAAACCTAACCTAACCTAACTTTATCAAACCTAACCTAACCTAACTTTATCAAACCTAACCTAACCTAACTTTATCAAACCTAACCTAACCTAACCTAACCTAACCTAACCTATCCTATCCTATCCTAACCAGTACTAGCAGACCAGGAAGACTGCCAATCTTCCCATGAACACCAAACAAAGCCCCTTCAAATAGACCGTAATATTAATTACTGTAATTTAACACCTTATGTTGGCCAAATCACTTGTGTTGTTACGTTGCCTATTGACCCCATTACTTGTAAGCTGTGTTGATGCATCATATTGACCATCACTTGTAAGCTGTGTGGTTGCAACATATTGACCACATCACTTCTAACTGTTGTGCCCCACAACATAATGATCACTACACATAAGTTCCCACACATTTGCCTCAAATTAAAGCATGAGATAAATTTTTATTGTATCACAGGAACTTTATTGATCAATTTTTAATACATCACAATAAATTGTACAGTATCACAAGAACTCTACTGATCAGTGTTTTACCATATCACTGGAACTTTATTGATCAAGTTTTACCATATCACAGGAACTATACCACAACTTTTAACAACCAACAATACATTAGCAATGAGTGAAACGATAGATCCTGCAGCAGGAGTTGCCTGAGAGACGCCTGACCTGGGAGAAATGCTGTCAATCTCTACTATCTGACCTGGGAGAGATGCTGTCAATCTCTACTATCTGACCTGGGAGAGATGCTGTCAATCTCTACTATCTGACCTGGGAGAGATGCTGTCAATCTCTACTATCTGACCTGGGAGAGATGCTGTCAATCTCTACTATCTGACCTGGGAGAGATGCTGTCAATCTCTACTATCTGACCTGGGAGAGATGCTGTCAATCTCTACTATCTGACCTGGGAGAGATGCTGTCAATCTCTACTATCTGACCTGGGAGAGATGCTGTCAATCTCTACTATCTGACCTGGGAGAGATGCTGTCAATCTCTACTATCTGACCTGGGAGAGATGCTGTCAATCTCTACTATCTGACCTGGGAGAGATGCTGTCAATCTTTACCAAATGGAACCTTTCAATTGGTGTGTGTCACTTTTTCACGTGTTGATTGTACACATAAGATTTCAATAAAGCTTGGTGTTTCCCGTGGCTCTTTATTGGTCCTTGACCTTTATATTAATCATCAATAATGATGGGTTATGATGATATTGGCTAAGTCTACTTGTATGTGAAATTGTCAGAGACTCCATCATTTATACAGATCTCTATGTAAAACACTGTTTCTAAATTATATTGTTGTTTTATGAGACAAATGCAATACGAAATGAATAGTGAGGTTGCGTCCTCTCTGCATGCAAGAGTTAAACTCATTTCATGATATAAGATCACACGAAGCAGCAGAATCATGTTTGTCCAAGCGAGGCAGTTAATTTATCTATTGCGTTATTTGTCTAACCTTCGTTTGAAACAATCTCAAGATCCCGCAACAATTGCGGCTGTACGATTTGTTGATCAGATACTGCCGGTTGATAGGGTTTGATACGGAATCGACCCCGGGGGGGAGTTGATTGGGTACGACAGGCAACCCGTTCTCGCAAATTTAATAAGTCAATATTGACTTATTAAATATGTGCATAGGTGACATACTTAACATAATAGATACCCTTAAAAAGATTCATAGAAAACACCGACCTTACCTAACCTTGTTAGTATCTTAAGATAAGCATCTTATTGCTTCGTAATTACAATTATTACCTAACCTATAATAGGTATAGGTTAAGTAATAATTGTAATTACGAAGCAATAAGATGCTTATCTTAAGATACTAACAAGGTTAGGTAAGGTCGGTGTTTTCTAAGAATCTTTTTAAGGGTATCTATTATGTTTAGTATATCACCTATGCACGTAGTTAATAAGTCAATATTGACTTTACGAATTTGCGAGAACGGGTTGCGACAGGCGATCAACTCCCTGTATGTGGCCTATGTACGATAATGCAAGGACACGTCGCCCGTAGTCTCAAGTTTCCGTCTTCGGAGTCGTCGTCGGAGCCGTCGTCGTGGGAGGAGAAGGAGCACGTGAGGGCCACATGGTCAGGCCTATGTTAAGATTCCGGCCGGATGGTCCCCCCATACACCTCCGTCAGGGCGCCACAGCGATGCCAACAATGTCTCCAGAGGCGTGTACATGGGCTTACCTCTCCCCTCCTTCTCCCTCCCTTCCCCCCGACATACACTCAGCCCTACGTGACAGTATACCTCAGTACCAGGATTACCGTGAAGTATACCCACTCATATAGCCTTGTATACACTGTGGGCGTGGTTATAGAGGCTGTATACACCCGTGGGCGTGGTTATAGGCAGCATTATATACCAGGGGGGCGTGGTTACGACCAGCTCCTCGTATGACATAACTGTAGAACTTCTAAAATAAACAGGATTCAGCTAAGTGATCAAACTCTCCATAACGTTCACTCGGGGACTCTAGCCCGTCTAAGTGGCTCTCTGAGAATGTCCAATTCACTGTTAAAATTTTGTTTACAAACCCCATTGAAAAAACCTCACTAAGTATTTGTATTAATAAAATGAAGCTACACTAAGCTGAGATTGATTAATCGTAAGCTGATAAGCTTCTAGGTCTTTACGTCCCTTATTCTGGCTCGTGCGTCAGTAGGAATCATTTCAAGAATCTGGTTGAGGCTTCCGCCTTCCTGGGGCCAGATTCACGAAGCAGTTACGCAAGTACTTATGAACGTGAACATCTTTCCTCAATTTTTGACGGTTTGGTTACATTTATTAAACAGTTTATAAGCCTGAAAACTTCCCAATCAAATGTTATTGTTATAAATAGCCTCATGGTGCTTCGGAGCTCGTTAACTGTTCAATAATTGTAAACAAAGCCGTCAAAGATTGAGAAAAGATGTACAGGTTCGTAAGTGCTTGCGTAACTACTTCGTGAATCTGGCCCCTGGTCATTGAGTTTGATGGCCCTCTGGTGGTCGACGGAGCTCCTAACACCTTCACAACTCTCATAACAGAATCAACAAGGACAGGACAGTCGTATTCAGTAACAGATTAGGTTTGTTCTATCAGTGATGGAAATATTTGGATGTTTAAGAATGATTCATTTAGGCTACACCACGTGTATTTATCATAGAGTTGCCTATGCTACTCATGGCGGCAATAGACTCACCATAGAAGGTTCTTGGATGAATACAGAGAAAGATCAGAATTCAGGTAAAGCCTATGGAACAAGTTTTATATTTTTTTTAGAGACATGGCGTTGGCGGCCTACGGTATATCAACAAGACATGTGTCAGCAAGTGGCACCCGGTGGCGAGGCACTGAGGGCAGAATAGTGCCAACAATAGCCACATGTGGGCCCTGGTGGGTGAGAGGGGGGCATATGGGCCCTGGAGGTCTCAAAGTTCCTAGGTCTGACGTCTCAACGTTGGCAGGGAGGGAGGTAGTGACATGTCTTGACGAATCACAGGGAATCTTCGACCCCCCAAGAAGTTATTGAGATTTTGGGGACCTGAAGACTCTGTGAGGAACTCGCAGCTTGGATATTTAGCGATTTGGAGCGTTGGGGATTTTGGGTTGTGGGGTCTAGGATCTTGTAGGCCTTGGGGACTAGGGGACGCGGGGTAGCTGAGGGCTTTGGGAGCTGGGCTCCGGGAAAGAATGTAGCCTAGGCATTTTGTGGACATTTATTGAGGTGCGACGCGTTACTGAGGTATTCCCAGCGCCCAGTCCTCCCTGACTGTCTTCTGCCACTAACGCAAACACCACACACACACACACACACACACACACACACACACACACACACACACACACACACACACACACACACACACACACACACACACACACACACACGCAAACACGCATTGCATTAGGAAGCAATGTGGTGGAGGCTGACTCCATACACAGTTTCAAGTGTAGATATGATAGAGCCCAATAGGCTCAGGAACCTGTACACCTGTTGATTGACGGCTGAGAGGCGGGACCAAAGAGCCACAGCTCAACCCCCGCAAGCACAACTAGGTGAGTACAACTAGGTGAGTACAAACACACACACACACACCACCTACAAACACAAACCTTATCTCCACACTCACAACAAATACCTCTTGCTTTAACAGACTTCCTGCAGACAGGAATAATAAGCTAAGTTCTTGACACAAAAGCGCATTAACCTCTTAATCTTTAAAGGAAGATGCCAAACATGTTCGTCACTTAATGTGAACTAAACTCAGCCCTGCATAAAGGTAAAGCCACATCACCTGGGAAGGATGGAATCACTCAACACATTACTGTCTTTGCGTCGTATGGTACCAGGAAACCCACTGCTTGCATTACATACCATGAACTATGTATCTGGGGAGCGTCCTAATGCATGGAGAAGGAGCACGTGAGGGCCACATGGTCAGGCCTCTGACCATGGTCAGGCCTCTGACCATGGTCAGGCGGGCCGCTCCAAGCAACAGCCTGGTG